TCACGCTGAAATGACTGCAGCCAGCTTGCAGTGCTGATCCTAACCTTTTGCACCACCAGGGAGGGCCGTGGGGAACTCTAATAGTATACTTGCATCAATGCCTGGGTCATCCAGACAGAAGCCAACAAAGAAACAACAGCCTTAAATGTCAGATCAGATGGGTTAAATAGATTCACGCAGAACATTCCGCCCCACACAACAGAACACACATTCTTCTCAGTTGTACATGAAGCATTCTTAAGGAGAGACCATATGTCGGCACACAAAAAAAAGTCTCAATAAACTCATGAATATGGAAATCAAGCATCTTCTCCCATCAGAATGGCATGAAACTAGAAATCAACCAGAAGAAAAAAGGAGGGGTGAGGGGATATAAAAGAAGGAACATTTACTAATATGAGGAGACTAAACACATGCTACTGATCAACTCTTGGGTCAACAAGGAAATCAAAAGAGAAACTACCTAGAGACAAATAAAAACAAAAACAAGAAGGCCAAGAGATGCAGCAAAGGAGCTACTAAGAGGGACATTTACAAAAATACAGTCTTGCCTCAAGGGACAAGAAGGATCACAAATGAATAATGTAATCTTACCCTTCAAGGAACTAGAAATCGACGGAAAAAAGGCAAAATACCAATGAAGCCAAGAACTGGCTCTTTGAAAAGACGAGCACAATAGGCAAATCTCTAGGTGGCTTCACATAGAAAATGAGAAAGAAAACTCGAATAACATCAGAAACAACAGAGAAATTATACTCCACAGTATAGACTTTTATAGACTTTTATAGACAGAAGGAATAAGGAAGTCACACTAGGCTAAAAAATGGAAGTTGGTTATTGCAAGATCACTTTTCTTTAGGGGACAGTTTTTCTTTTTGTTTTTGTTTTTAATTTAGTTATTGATGCATACAGAACTGGAGTACAGGCCAGAGATGCGGGGGTGGTGAGAAGCTTCAGAGTGGGGAGCAGAACATGCAGATCTACGAAGTATACTGCTGAGGGGAGCAGCAGGCGGGTCAGGAGAGGTCTGAGGCACCATGTGGTCACCTCCAGGGCGGGCGGTGATCGAACTCATGCGGAAGTGGCTTTAGCTTCTTAGTGATGTGCTTTAACCGCTGCACCACCAGGGAGGGTCGGGGACAAGTTTTATCAGGCAGATTCTCTAACTAGTGCTGACCAGGAAATTCCTGACTGCCTGACTTAAGATTCCTTTTCTGGGAGAGCCAACACTTGAATTAAGTTAAATATCAGACTGGTAACCTTGGTTTGGTATAGGTGACTCCTTTTTGACCTGTAGCCTCGTTTTCAACATGCGCAATCAGTGTTTTTTAAACATTCCATTGTTTCTAACAAAACCTCCCCCTTACACATTATTAAGTCTTATTACAATGAATGAAATCAATTTATACAATAGTGCATTTTAGTGTTTCATTAACAATGTTTGTTTACAACTTTTTTTTATAAATAGAATGTTTTCAATTTTATTATCTCAAGATTAAATCTCTTACTGGAGCTCACCATTAAACCAGAATCATGACCTGATCTGTCCCACAATGGCACAATTTATTGCACAAATTAAATGTTCAAATTAAACATATTATTAAAATAAGGCATTTCTTGGTTTTATTTATTTTATTTTCCGTTATATAAATATAAGCATTGCTAGGTTTTGCAACCTCAGGACGTTTTTCCAGGGATAGTACTGCCCCCTAGAGGACATTTTGAAAACTTACTGCCTGCTTTCGGCTCACGGGTGAAGGGACCTTACTAGCTGTGAAGCCTGCGAAACTGATGTCCGAGAGAAGCAGGGCAGTCTCACATAGCTAACAGTTATATTTACAAATTCCAAAGGGCCCTTCATATCAGCCCAAAACTCAGGATTTTCTGAGCCTAGAATTTCACCACTGTTTCATGCATTTTTGTCTTATTTTAATAGATACTGAATTCCTCTTAATTGTATTTATTTGACAATCAGGGAGCGATGGCTCGTTGAGTTGTGCTGGACTTTACCAAGAGTTACTTACCATTAGGATACTAGGGTTTGTAGTAAATATATACTTGGGTCTTCATTCAATGCTCCTGGCTCATGGGCCCCTAAACCCCTGGACTTTACTAAGCTGTAAGAGCAACGGGAGCCCCATTTATTACATTTGATCTCCTCTGCTCCATTCCTGAAGTTGCTTCGGACCACTGTGGTGGCTCCATGCATCCCTGTCGGGTAAGTGAATTGATCAGGCTTTTTGCGCCACGAGCCCCACAGCTTCCACCTGCGGCCTTGATCCTGTTGTAGAGGAGTTTGGGGGTGCGGTCTCAGGACAAGTGTGGCTGTGTGTGGACATCTGGTGTGTGGGAGTGGGCACTCGTAAGTGTGCATGCCCGAGCCTAGAGGCCAGGGGTGGACGGGCCCCTCACCCAGACACTGCCTATGGGGGACAGCAGTGTGGCTCCAGAAGAGGGGAGACCATGAGAGAGCCCAGAGAAAGAGTGAAGATTCGTGGGGGGCTGGGAGGCTTGGTTGCCACTGCCTTGCAGTGCCCCACACCCTCCCTCCTCCCCGACCTGTGCCTGCCCCTCACCTGCCAGCCTCCCCAGCTGGTGTGCCTGGACACCTGGTTCCCTGAGCAACTAAAGCCTGAAAAATCCCCCCAGGTCCCTGGGGCTCCCCTTTACCCATCTGTCTGAACCCATGGTGAACCTGCTTCAGGCTTGCTTGCACAATAACCCACAATAGAAATTAAGCGAATGTCATGCCTTCAGAAATGCCCACAGATGGAAGAGGCGGAGACCATTGTACCCAACCATGGTAGAGGGTGGGAACTTTGAGGTGGGTCCCTGGTTTCTTGAGTAAGAACAGGGCTCCCAGGGTGAGTCATTCACCAGAGTTAAGGAAATTATCAATCATTCCTATTCAATGGAGCCTCCTAAAATCCCAAAAAGGAAGTTCGGAGGGCTTTAGGGTGGTGAGCCAAATGCTTCCATGTGCCACCTTCTGAGCCCCAAACTCCAAGAGAGAGAAGCGCCTCTGTTTGGAAGCTCACCTCTGTGGCCTCCACCCCTTCAGCTGGGGCGATCAGTATCCTTTATTACCCTTGGTCGTAAACTGGTCATCTGGAGTTAATTGCATCTCCTGAGCTACTCCAGCAAGTCAACTGGCCCAGGAGGGTCTCTGGGAGACTTAACTTACAGCCAGTGCCAGAGGCCCAGGGAGAAAATGGCCCTGGGGCTGGCAGGAAACAGAGGGGGCAGGCTGAGCCCTGAGTGGGGGGGGGATCTCCTGCTGCCCCAGGGCAGGTGGTCAGGAGGCAACTGAGCTACAGGCCATCCAAGGTGACTCACAACTGCTCAGGTGGGTGGGGAGAAACCCTACACATTGTAGTTAGTACCAGAATTTGCCACGTCACGAAATCACGCCCCCAGTAGCAAGTCACTCGGATGCTCAGTCAGCGTCTGGGACTCAGTCATTAGAGACACACCTGGGTCTCTACAAGCATCTGCTCCAGAAGGACCAGAGGTGAGACAGTGTTTGCAATTCTCAATGAATATTGGCTTAAAGCAGAACAGGTAAACACAGAGTTTTCTGGTGTAATCTGAGATAACACTCTGGAGTGCATCCTTAGCAAACTACACACTATTCCAGGCTTTCATAGTTGCGTTCTCCTCTATTCATTCTGCAGTTGGACAGTATCTTGAGTTTATCGGCAGCGACTCTGCCAGTTCACTCTGGGAGAGCAGAGGTGCCTGCCTCGTGTTTCAGTTCACAGACAGCATGAGGCCTGGGTGGGCTCTGCTGATGCCCAGAGTGACCTGCAGGGTTAGGGTACAGACTACTTCCTTCCTTGTCTCAGAGGGCCCATGGGTGATGACATCCCAGTAACAACAAGCACCTCGATCTAGCAGATGTTGCTATCTAACCCCACACTGACACGCAAGGACCCAGGGCTAGTCCGTCCTGGGACTAGAACAAGGAATATGCAAGATGCACAGGGAGCAGCAAGATGCACAGGGAGCAGCTCCTGGTGCCAGAAAGGAGTGTTAAACGCACATTCAAACTCACACGGTGTGCAAGACATGGAAGGCTCAAACAGACTTTCCCTACCTGGCTTGTGGGCAAACGGCCAGCGTGGGGCAGTGAGATTCACCGTGGGATGGGGCAGTGATGACTCAGGCCTGGGCTTCCTTAGCCTGTGCCAGGCCCCTGAGGAAGCTCACTGGGTGCTGGGCTGGGGTTGGTGTGGGGCCAGGTAAGAGAGCACCTGTGTCCTTGAGGCAAGTGGTGCCTACATCCCCAGTCAGGCCTGACCAGGTTCGAAGCCCACCCCACCCAGGCTGGGTCCTTGACTAAACGCAGGCCCAGAAGGAGGCGATCTGCTGGGTCACCTAGAGTCAGGAGCTCAAAGGGCAGCTTCCTGCCTGTCCACTGGGCGCCAGCCAGGCATGGCGTGCAGTTGGTAAAGTCAAGTCAGCTGAACCAACTGTGAGCGAGAACACAAAGCTCCAGGAGGGGAGCAGGAACCATTGTTATTGCAGGTCTTCATGGAGGCAGAGAGGGCACATGAAGAGAGGATGGGGCCTGCTCTGTAGGCTGGGGACCTAGCTGTGTGAGCTGGGGGTGGAGGGCCTTCCTGTGTGGGTTGGGGGGCCTTCCTGTGGTCTGCCTCTAGGAGCCCAGTGACGGGAAGGAGGCCTGTACACCTGCAGGGTCTGCCCAGCCCCACTGCATGGTGGCGGTCTGACTCTGGGCCAGTGAGGGCAGAGTCCCTGGGGAGATGCAGCCCACTGCCGGCGTGGAGAAGGCCAGCGGCCAGCGCACGCAGGGCCCCATCGGCGCCCCACCCACGGGGCTGTGACTGCTAGGTGGTGACTCAGCAGGACCTGAGTCCTGGGCGGGTCGGGGAAGGGTCTGTCCCTGGCGCAGCAGCCCACGCTCCATCCTGTGAGTCCCTGCCCAGCACCGCACGAGAGGCCCCACCCGGCCGCCGGACACAGCACAGACACTCGCGGGCGGCAGCTTCTGGTCTTTATTTCTCATGCTTCTCGGAGCAACTCTGGCTGTGTAAGACAGCTGTGGTGAGACGCCAGGAAGCCAGGGTGGTGCACGTGGGCTCCACAGCCTGGAGGAAGTGGTCAATCATCAGAACCGAACAGCCAGCCCCCCACAACTGAGCCAGCAGTGCCCAGCAAGGCATTGGATGAGGCCGAGATCCCCGCAGCGCCTGGGGAGAGGAGAGCCTGTGAGTACAAGGAACAGGAGACCCCACGCTGCTCTCTTGGAGTGGAGTGAAGATACCTGCCCTGCGGGAAGGCGAGAACCCAGGAACCCCCCACCTGACTGCCTTTGCTGCCCCTGCACCCCAGGATCTGCTGAGGGGACAGGTGCTGCAGGAGCTGGCCAGAGAGCGCCCTGCCCTCGGTGGGGTAACTCCAGGACAGGCGCGCCTCTGGGAGATGGCAGGTGCCTCACCGTCCAGGACGGGCAGAGACAGGGCGGACAGGGCCTGCCCAGAAGGCCTGGGTGGTATGGGGAAGGCGCCCTCCTGCTGTACCCAGGTCCAAACACCCACAACTGCCAACTGGGGGGTGGGGGTGCGGTGGAGAGAGGGGGTGGCAGGAAGGGAGGAGAGACCACAGGCACACTCTGGAGACCAGGCTGGGAGGGACAGGGGCTCCCCCTCCACTCCTGCCAGGACACTGACCTGCGGACTGCAGAGTGGCCACCAGGCTGCCGGCCGCCACTCCGCCCCCGTTGGCGATAGCCGCGACTGACATCATCTTGGCTGCCACGGAGGACGCGGCGATTCCTGCCCCGGTGAAGCCCACGGCGCTCAGCACCACGGGTGCAGCCGCCACGGCCACAACTGTGGAGAGGAACTTTGGGTTGACCCTGCGGAACAGCCTGCCCCAGAGCCCAAAGCTGTGGGCTGGGTGGGTCCTGCCAGGCTGGGTGAGGACAGAGCCCCGCACAGGAGGGCTGTGACCTGGCAACCTCCAGCGGTGGGCTCCACGAGAAGCTGGGCCCAAGCCCCTTCCCTGCCTCTACATCCCTGCGACACTGAGGTCTCCCCTCTCCTCCCTGGGCCTCAGGCCCCTGTGAGAAACACAGCCTGTTGCAGAAGCAGAGATCCACCAGCCCTCAGCAGCAGAAGTGCCCTGCCCTAACCCCAGGGAGGCACAGAGAACACCAGAGCCCTCCCTGCGCAGGGGCCGGGTGGGGCCACCCTTGACCCGCGGGGCCCTGCTGCAGCAGGTGGGTCCCCAGGGTGCCCTCTACCTCCTGAGCAGGGCAGCCCTGCCCCCTGTCACCTGGAAGGCCCCACCCTGCACGGTCAGTGTGGACGCCCAGTGGGCTGTGAGCACTTGCCGGGACCAGGTGACAGCAGGGCTTCTTTTCTGTCATCCTGGGCGCTGAACTGGGGGCCCCAGTCTACACCCCAGCCGGGAGCCCTGTGCTGGGCAGATGAGTTTCCAGGTTTGCAAAGCAGTTCTGAGACCCTGACTGAGCATTGCCCCCACCAGGGGCGGAGAAGGTGCAAGGTTCGCCTGGCCCCGGCTCCCCCAGCGTCCCATGCCCCTGTCTCAGGGAGATCCTGGCCTCCCTCCCGGGGGAGGACCCTGGCCTGGGCCAGATCAACGACTCTTCCAGGCTTTGCACTGGGACCTTGCTCAAGCCTGTGCCCTGGCCCCTGTGTGCCAAGGCTTGTCTTCTGGAATCTTCCACCTCTGTCCCACTCTACCGAGAACCCTGAATATCTGGGGCTGGAGGCCTTTGGTCAAGTTTGTTGACACAGAGGCCCAGAGCCTAGACAGATGGGGCTTGAGCTCCTTCCCAAAGAGACTCACCTCCTCCAATCACATATCCAAAGAGTTCTGTGTGAAAAAGAAAAACCGTGAGCATCCCATATCACTCGCTCTGGGTCCCGATCCTGTCCACCACAGGAGTGTTCTCTGAATGGAATCAGAAGGGAGAATCTCCCTTCCTGACCTCATCCTGCTTCTCCAGAGATGCCTGATACATACAGAAGACTGAGTGAATGCAGAATAGTCTAAGGTTGTGATTTTCCACAGAATCTAAATGCAATAATAGCGTTAGCATTCTTTCAAATTTTATCTTCATTGCAAGGAAACCATGTTTCTATTTCTGATGAAATATCTGTCTCTATCCCAGAACACAGGCTGAAGAGAAAGTCCTGAGGTGCCAGGCTCGCCTACACATCGCCTTTGCCAAGAGGCATTCCCAGCTGCCCCCCATTAGTGTCCTGCCTGCGGCCAGAGCTCTGGCAACAGCAGGCAGAGACACCTGGACCATGGAGAACTGCTCAGGCCGAGGCTCTGGGTGAAGCCGGTTGAGTCTTCCCAGGAGGCCACCTCATGACCCCCCACACTCGTGCCAGGTCCCCCACCACCCTCACCATCAGCTTCTATACCCACTGCCTCCCCGCTCCTCCATCTTCTCTGGTCTCCAGCTCTTCACAGCCCCACTTTTCAAGAGCACCCACACTTCACACATTTCCTCTCTGTTTCAGCCCTTCTCCCACTAGTGTCCTCGCTCTTATTACTCTAAGAAAATGAAGGCAACCTGGGGAGGCCGTCTGGGGGAGCCCACGGCCAGGCTTCTCCTGGCTCGGTCTCGCCTTCATGGTCCTGCCCTCCAGCTCCTGCATTGAAAGGGGCCTGCTCTGCCCATGGGGTGGGCCCAGCTCTCTTTGGTCACACCCTGGGCTCCTGCCTGCTCCCCAGGCTGCTGTTCATCATGTCCCCCTGTCCTCGGAGAACACTCTGCAGCCAGCAGCCCAGCACCCCTCCTGCAACGTGAGGGTGCCCCAACACAGGCCCTTCCTCCGCTGGCCTCCGCCCGGGGCTCTCTGCTCCTCATGGCCAAGCTCCAGCACTAGCTCAGGGAGGGGCGAGCCAGGGTGACTGGGCGCCCGGGCCCCAGAGCTGCGGGACCCTCACCCTGCCGGCCCTGGGCCCCCTCAATGTGCAAGGCGACGACATTGTCCACCTCACAGGTGTGGAGACTTGTGGGGAGAACAGGCGGACAGGAGCATACGCCCACCACCGCCTCTTCTCCCCACAGGCCACGACTGCTCCTCCCTGGCCTTGTCTGCATGGCAGGGGCTCACCAGCCCCGCTGACCCTGCGCAGCCCACTCAGCACCCCGCTCAGTCTTCCCGTTACTTGCCCTCACTTGACTTGACCTGACCCCTCTTCCTCAGGGCTTCAAGGTTGTGGGTTACGTTGTGTCTCTGAAAGACATGCTCAGCCCTGAGCCTGGTTCAAGGAGTGTGGCCTCACTGGCTACTACTGTCTCTCCAGACGCAGTTAGCAGGTAAGTCGGGATGACATCTGCTTACATGGGGGCACCTCATCCCCACCCCCACCCCCGATAGGACTGCTGTGCTCACCCCAGGGGTGGGGGCTGGAGGCCCAGAGACACACAGGAGATAGACAGACAAAGTGGTGTGATGGCCACCCCCAGCCAGGGAGCAGCCAAGATACTGGCAGCCCCCAGAAGGGTGACAGGGCTCAGCATGGGGGCTCCCCTGGAGCCCACAGTGGAGCAGCCCCCTCCATGCCTAAGCCCAAAGCCCAAACTCTTTAACAAAGGGCCAGTGGTCTGGCTTGTGAGTGGTTCCCTAAACTCCCTACTGTGTGTACCCTGGGGACTGACCAGAAGCCACTTCCTGTCCCCTGATGCTGACCATTGACCAGCCAGTGAAAACCAACCAGGGAACCACAGTGACCAGAGCAGGAAGCCCTGGGGAGGGCTCTCAGGCAGCCCCCGCCACCCCTGCAGCACTCACCTTCCCTGCAGGCCCAGCAGGGGGGC